GCTTTTTGGTGTAAATAATGTGTTTGCATATTTTCAAAAGGAAATGGATGAATACTTTAAGAAATAAAACCTGCATAATACATAGGCCTTTGTTGATAATGTAATAATTTGTAGTACCACAAAAAAGAGCAGTTTCAAAAAGCTGCTAAGCTAGAGAATTCAACATACAATAATAAAAAATACCAATATTCTGTCCAAAGCATAGATCAACTGGGATATCTTATATCACATAGAACAATCAAAGCTGATCCAGAACATGTGTATATCAACAAACCTATAAAATCATTAAATTAAAATTCAAAATCATTAGAACAAATAGTTGGAATCTGCGCATACTATGCAAGATGGACAACAAATTTTCTGACAAAAAAAAAAAAAAAAAACAATAAATTCTACCCAAACTTTTTTGCTATCAGGTAAAGCTTTAGCAGCTTTTAACATATTGAAATCTTTTCTTGTGGATGCAGGCCTAACTAGAATCAGTGATAATTTATTATTTGTTGTTAAAACAGATGCATCACATAACTCTATATCAGCAGTGCTCAGTCAGGATAATTACACAGTTGCCTTTTACTCTAGATCACACATGTAGAAAAAGTAGTCATAGCAATAGTTGATGCAATTGAGATATAGAGATACCTTTTGTTCAGCAGGCACTTTATTCTCAAAACTGATCAACAATCTGTGTGATTTATGCTTGATGCACAAAATCATGGGAAAATAAAAAAGAAACATTTTGCACTGGAGAAGTACTCTCACTTCCTTCAGACATTGAATACCGTGAGAGTAGGGAGAATGTAGCAGGAGATACCCTTACCTGAACTAGTTGTGCCACATTTCCAAGTAACAACCAATTTACACTATATAAATCTTTATGTCACCCAGATATCACCAGAATGGTTCAATTCATTCAAAGTAGAAAGTTGCCATATCCTGCCTGATGACAGCTGTCAAACATGCAATACAGTTTAACCTAATTGATGAACAATCCTCCAACCTAACATTAATAAAACTGCAACTGAAAATTCACCAAGTCTCAAATGTTGTACCACTCTAGTCAACAAGCTACCTAAGTATTTAGACCTGTGAATAGCTCAATCTCATTCAATGTTTAACTTGTTTTTACAGCCACGTATAGAATACTTCTGAAATTCAGTTTTCTAATGCTGTGATAAAATTAAACCCAAATCTTTGTTCATGATTTAAGTCGTTGTCAGAGTTACTTCCCTCAACCATCATTTAAGTTCTTAACTTCCATTCCCTTCCCAACTTGCTAACTTTGGTTTTGGCATCATGATGTTTAGCAAGAAACCAAATTTCACATGTATGAATTCTGTTTAATAAAATTTAAATCAGTAAAAAGATCATTGTCATTATTCGCAACAATTTGGAAGTTCTATTGGGGTGATTATTTTAAAAATGCTGAACCTACAATGTGAATATATAACAGCATTACAGGTTCAATTTCTAATCAGGCATTAAGGAACTTCATAATTCTATTCAAAATCATAAAAGTTTCAAAATACTCGTGAATAAAATAAGTAGACTACAATCATAGTAAGCATGACTTCAGATGCTATTTTCTGGTAATGGTAAATAATGCTAACTTTACTTAATATTTTTTATGTATAATTTTTTATGCAAATTTTTTTTTTTATATTTTTTGCATTGATACATATGTTTTAATGGAAAAATTCATTTTAATTTGGGGTGGCCATAAGTCACAATCACAGACATTTTCTCAATGCAGCTGTTTTTCCCTACAAAAATAATGTCAAATAACCATAAGAAATAAGAATCAAACATTGTAAATATCATTTCTTTTTACAAGAAAGGTAAATTTTGAAAGAATGTGCATCAATGTGTATTATTGAACACAATCATAGGTGATAAAATATGCAATCTTCAAGCATATTCAATCATAATTATGTGTGATTTAAATACAAGCTGAGATGAGCTATCATTAAAGCAACTCAAAAACACTGAATGAAATCAAAATTTGCCAGCTAAGTGCTGATTATTATAAGATTTTAAATGTTTATTTATTGTTTAGCAGATACCATCTGTATTAGGCAAGTTATTAGTAAAGAGATAAGTAAATGTATGACTTGAAAGGCCAGGATTACATTATAATTATTGATATAATTTTCCAGATATGCTTTTTTATTCAGATAACTTAATGAACCTGGAACTGAAAGATTTCATATAATGAAAAATAAAGTACATTGTGCAATGAATAAATTGTCACTTAAATTATGCAAAAATGAAAATAACATTGACATCTCATTTTAACAGATATATTTAATAAAATTATAGAAAAATATCTTGAAATACTAGAGAGTAAATGTATTCAATAAAATTGCCATTGGCTTCAACCATGGCCTCCAGATAAATTCAGAATCTCCTGCAACACTTCTGGGTAGTCTCCTTGTTTAAGTTGGGGAATGCTGCCATAATCCTTACTTTCAGTTCCTCTTTGGTGGTACAAGGCATTTTGTTGGTCTCTTGCTCAACTGTGCCCCATGCATAATAACCAAGGGGGTTGCAATCTGGGAAATTAGGTAGCCAGATATAAGGGATGACATGATTGCAGAAATTGTCTGACAGTCATGATTGGGTTCTCCTGCTTCTGTGGCATGGTGAAGAGTCCTATTGCCAGATATAGGGTCTTCCAGAAGCCACCCTCTTGGCCCAGAGCAGCAAAAACTCCTTAAGGCACTTGATGTAGGCCTCCATGTTAAGTCTGGGGCGTTCACCAACAAATTTGGGAGTTCTTTTTTTATCAGAAAGATCAGAGTGAGTTTTCCAGCTGTCATACATTCGTAATCACTATCCTCAGATTGGCACCCAAACACTTTGAAATGTTTGTATTGGAGTTTCTGGCATGAATGCCAAGCAGCACAGCATGACATTTCCAAATTTCTGATGGAGTGAATTGCATCATGGTGTTCTTTTTCTCACAGATTGTTCCCAACTGACCTTGCTATACTGTGCAGTCGACAAAATCAAAAACAAACAATGAGTATACACGAAATTAAAAATATGAAATGGCAACAATTTACTCATCGCACCCTGTACTTGGTTAAAATTTTAGTAGAGCATTTTTGCTGATTTTAATTGTAAGGAAAAAGCAGTTATTTTGAAGTGAACATATATTGCACACTAAATTATTAAATTAAATTATTATTTGTTTTATATTTTTGCTCTTGTTTACAATAATTTCATGAGCTCTTTTGGTCTAGATTGGGTGATCTCAGTCCCAGAAGATTTTGAATTTTGCACAATTCCCATTGGATCATCCTTCCCATTCAATGTGATGCATTCATTTATTATTCTTTCAGCTCTATCTCCATATAAATATCAAGTATTTTGGTATATCTTATCAATCTTTATGTAAATTGATTCTTATGTAAATGTTCTGAGCTAACATTAGCAGTGATTCAATTCTCTAGTTAAAGTTCCTCTTTGAAATCATGTCTGAGTATTTCATCTGAAATTTCTTGAGTTTATCTTTTCAAATAGCCATACATTTTTGGATTCTTGTTTTCAGGTTTCCTTATTATCTATTTGTTTTTCTCTTGCAAAAATAATCTTCATCTGGCTGAGAATAAAACTACTTGATAATTTTAACTTCTATTCATGTAATAAAAATAAGAATTATAATAATTTATGCTTATTAACCTGATGGAAAAAAGTGCTATTGTGAGGAGTTATTTTGGTTCAGTGTTTAGGATGAAGTGCTTGTTCAATATAAGTGAGACTGATGTTGTTGCTCAGTAGTGAGAGTAGCTTGGATCAATAAATGTTATTGTAGTAAAATTGATTTAAAGATATTCATATTCCTGTGTAATGGTAGTTAAATATCAGAAATTTGAAACTTAATGTGTTTGGAGGGTATACTTTTGAAATAATAAATAAGTGATGATATAGGTAGATATGAACACATGCAGATACATAGACATATGGATAGATGTTTTGACCAAGTAAATGGTTAAGTACACTAGAAGAGTATTACACAACTAGTAAGAGTGTCCCAAATGAATTAGTGCTCAATCTATTCACTGTTCCCCAAACCTTCTCTCCAACTAATCTTATAGTAGGTGGAAGAGTCTAACATAGACTTTTAAGAGGGAGAATACCAAACACCTCCCTTTTCAGCCTGACTCCATATGAGGTCTTTTTTTTTATGATTACCACACAATACTTTTTATTTAATCCTTTTTCACAAAAAAAAAATCAGAAACAACCACTTTGAAAAAGCTATATACAGGAATTATGTTTACATTTTTTTTTTTTTAAATGATAATAATTTCCAATAATCCAATGCATATTCTGCTTTTCTGGTAATTCAAAGTTCATAAGTGAGATGTTGGTTTTTTTTTTTACTCATTCTTTTCCTTTTTCTGTAGACTTGGTATGAAATGAAAGATATCCAATATCTTTTCTTCTTCAAGTTAACTTCTAAAGGTTCCATGAATTTCCTTTTCCTTTTGGGCCTTCTGAACTCTCAAATTGTGCATTCTTGGAACAAAGACATTGTAATAATTGGCAATACCTAAAAAACTTTGAAGTGCCAACACATTTTCTGGTGCTGGTGCTTAAGAGGGAGAATGCCACAACAATAGATATTAATACTCTGTAGATATTGTAGCCAGTATATTTGTATTACATTAAAGCAAAACAATTGTTGTTGCAATTGTTTAAATGAAGAGTGGCTACCTATTTTGGAAATATGCATTTAATTAGGTTTGAAATCTGAAGAATAAATAGGTGAAAAGGAACAGATTGAGATAGCTTGATAAATGTTGAAAATAAATTGATGGGGAGATATAAAAATAACAAACTGATAAAATAGACAAAGAAAGAAAGAATCAGACAGGTCTGTTATTATATTATGAAAAACAAAGTAGTTTGAGTGGATACATTGTTGAAACTTTCTTAAAGGTATCTCTCAACCAGAGAATGGCAAGGTCCTAAAAATAAAATAAAAATATACTTACCCACAATCTTTATATTTTTCTTTTTCTCATCCAACATAATATTCTCCATTTTTAAATCCCTGAAAAAGGAGAATGAAATATTGAATTTTTATTGTTACTTCTTTCTTATCAAAGAAAAGAAAACTATCAAACAATTATTTACATTTCAAATCTTATATAAGGTTTTGTAGCTTTTGTTTTAAAATATTTTTTACTAATCCTTACTTTTACTTTTATATTTAAAGCTTTGAATTTCATGGTTTAAATTACCTGAAAATATTTAAACAAACTGATACTTGGATCCAAGTTAAAATAGGTTTTGTATTACGATCATATTTGAACAAAATGGCTCTCATCGGTATTGTTCTATGATTTCTTTGATAAATAGCTTGAAATACTGAGTGACTTTTCTATAAAAAATGAAAAGCTACATGACATCTCATGCATCCCATTTTAAAACTGTCTCTTTAAATTATAAGTCAAAATAAATATATATCTGTTAATGAAAAATTAAATCAGTTTTGAATACTACATAATTGTTACTTTTCAAAAATAAATAAACAACCAGTGTTAATCAATTCTAAACAAAGCACAAAATAAAAATTCAATGAAGATTTGTTTATGAGTGAATTTAATTGTAAACTAGATTTCAACAACAGCTTACAATTGTTGTTTACAATCTAGTTTTATTCCGTATCTTTCAAGGATGACAATTTCATAGTGGTGTTTCTAAAACTTCCTGTATTTCATGTTGTGTTTCCATACACATATCAAAACATTGTTCCATCTTATATAAAAAAGGATGTTCCTCAATTTGGTTGGTTTAAGATAAGGTTTGAAGTTGTCTTTCAGAAGAAAATTACTGAACTGAAAAAATAAAAATTGCACCTACACTTGTAGAGCAATGTCTCATCTTTAATAATCAGTTGGTTCCATATATCATACAACTTGACACAAATCAAAAAGCTAGTATACTGCATTAATTTCATGCAAAACCGTTGAATCCAATGCACTGAAATTTGTATTGCTGATCTTGTAAATGAACATTGCCAGCTGAACCCCATTTTAAATAAGACTTGTTTCATTGATGGATATTATATCAGTCAAATCTTTTTGTTATATTTTCTTTAATAATGCATTTTAAAATTATATAAAGTACTTATTGATTGTATTTTGTTCAAACTGTCATGCTCAAATCATTGGCTAAAATCAAAAACATTAAACAGAATTCATATAAAAAAAATTTATAAACTGAATATATTTTTCTTTAAATTATGTACTCATATCTGTTTATAAATAAAATAAATTTTTTAAAAAGTTTCCAGTTTTTCACTTAATGGTGATTCATTTCATTTACATTCTTGACTGACAATATTTTCTCTAATTTTTAGGATTAAATCGAAAATTTACATTTTTTTTAAAAATGAATCTGGAAACATTTTATAAAAAAATAAAATAGAAAATGATCTTGATATATGTTTTAGTTTATCTTTGGTGCATGGGTTCATAAAATTTGAAATGTAATTAGGTAATTTTCAGAATATAATTGATTTCCCCTTTTTTTCAAATGATTATTTGTTTACTAATTCTAGGAATTACTGTTAATGGACACATCAAATGAATGAAATGCTGCTCATGTGAAGGCATGCAAGAACAAAGTAACTATAAACAAAATGTTTTTTGTTTTTTTTTTGCTATCCTCTGCCAGTCGCAATGATGGAGAAAGCATCGTCAGTGAGACATGCTATAAGAGTCACTCCATTCTGCGAGGCTCGTCCCTTAATCGAGACACCACCCTGCCAATTCTCTGAGGAAATGCCATCGAATGAGGGTGAATAACCCCAGAAGTCTCCACTGCCACAGAAGTAAAAAAAATCTATCAGCAAGAAGAATATTTAACTAATTTTTTTTTATCTCTGCGTCAACGACTTCCCTATTTTAAAAGGGAAAATAGTAATGCCATCTGGCTGCTTTCCATCACCACGATCGAGGCCTATGGGTTCGATTTGGGAAGGGAACCCAGCTGCATCCAAACCTCTTCTGATGTCGTTTATTGCTGCATACCGTGGAAAGCAACTGGCACTACGACGACAGGAGAGAGGATGCAAACCAAACTCATCGATGGAAGCTCTACATCTGCATCTGTGATGCTCACATAATTTGAGCCCAAGATGGAATGCAACTCCAACCCGAGTGCACTCATCATCTAGAAGGGTACCAATAGATGAAGAGGGCACTGCATTGAGCCAGGCACCACTACTCAGTTGTGAAGCAGATAGTAGACAGGCAAGGCATAGCAGATCCAGAGAGAGTCTCAAATTAGTAAAATTAGCCTCACATTTTATTTTATCCCAGCTTTTTTGTTTTCATGTGTCTAGTGGGATAGAAAGTAATTCTTGGGCTCAGTCACTGCAAGCTTCTTCGAAAAAACTACTCAAGAAACATTGAGATGATCCACAGAGTATCTCATCAATTAATTCGCAAGTGGAAGAAAGTGAAGAAAGATCTGCTGGAAGAGCCAAGTCTGCTGCTGATCGAAGGCCCAGGCATCCGAAACTCAAGGGGAGATTTGCCTGCCTCCAGCCTGTGACGTCGAAATTAATGTTGCAAAATAACTCTGCGCATCTCTTAATTGTGATATCAATCTCATTTAAGAAATCCTGTTCGAGGTAGCAAGGGGCACTTAGGAGCATGTAGAGGAACCTTGGCAGTGAAAAACTGTTCTTCAAGAGGAAGAGGGCTGGGTGTGCATCAATTAATTGCAATTTTTGTTATAATGACATGCTTGGTATCCAAACACTCTTGAATGGCCATTGGAAAGACTGGAGATCCAAGAATGTGTAATTCCTTCTTAGGTGTTATTTTTGTATCCTCAAGGATGAGTCTAATATCCCGGATAGCACTCTCAAAATCATCTGCACTATAATTCAAGTTTATTATCTCTGACTTGGATGAGTTAATCTCAAGTTCAAGCAGAAATAAAGTGGGAATAACTCATCAGAGATCAGCAGCTATGGATTCAACAGATCTTCCCAGCGTTGCATTGTCAAGATACCATATATTGAAAGGAGAGGTGATAGAACAAGCTACCCTGTCAATAGTTATTGCAAATAGTAGCAAACCAATTGCTGGATTCTGGTAGCAGAAGAGATATTATCAAAGGTGATCAACATACTTGGATGACTATACGAAAGATGAGCCAGTTTAAATATGAAAGGAGTCCGTTGATGGCAAACTTCCAAGGTATGATCCCTTCTGATGCTATTTTTCATATCCAATTTTAATAAGATGTGGGGGGGGACAGGTAATGTATTCTCGAAAAATGATCTTATGGCATGAACTGTGGTTTCACATCCACCCTGTATGCCTACCCCAACCTTGACAGGTCGCAATTCATGCCCTATCTCCTTCACAACAACTCTACAGCAATTTTTGCTGTGAGTCAACGAAAAATGTTACCAACAGCGATAGGGCAGATACCTCTGCCTTTTTTTTTTAAAAGCCTTTAAGTTGGCTGAAAATATTAAGTCACAAGCATGTTGGGGTATCTCAGCTCGGAGAAGGGTATTAATAAGAGCTGTTATGGATCTTTTCAAATGTTCACCAGCTTCGGCAGTGTGGGCAGAAATTAAGTCCTTGATGTGATCAGGTCGTAGGCCATCCACACCTCTACTTCTGCTTCCCGAAAAAGACTTCAGAGCAGCAACCATCGCTTCCTTTTGAGATTTCAATATTTGAATCATTGTTTTCCATCTGAACAAATCTGACATCTGATGGTGGCACAGGATGTTTCCGACGGAGGGCTGTGGGAACTGGTGTAGTAGCTAGTATAGTATCGGATGAGGCCAATACTCTAACTGCAGTTGAGACATCACCCTCGATCAACTTAGCATTGGCAAGGGCACGGAGTCTCTTAGAATCGTTGACTGTAGATGAAGGATGAAATCTATTAGGATTAGAAAGATTAGAAAATTTGGTGGCATTTATTTTAGACAAATTGAATAAAGAAATGTTATTTTTCATAATAGATGAGACAGATGATGTAGGGTCCTTATTGTAAGGAATGCCGAGCACAAGTGTTGCTAAAGAGAAAAGGTGATCCCAGTCGTTTAACTGTTCAAGTTAAGTGCCTGGTCTATGGCAGTAGCCAAGGCATCGGCTGCCAGGATTCTGACAGATTTAGGGATTTTTAAAGGCACCTTGACAATTTGAACAACTTCTGATTCTTTTACGCTTATTAATGCTGCCACAAGAAAAGCAAAAATCAGATTCCAGCAAAGAAGAAGGAAGAGACATTTTTTATTCCCTTCTTTTTCCTAAAATCAATGTAGAACTTTCTTTTCTGTTAATTCTTGTAATCTCTGCTTGACATTAATTTCATTTTTTCCCCTTGAAATCAAATCTTCGAAAAAATATTGTCTTGTATTACAAATCCTTTAAAATAATGTTTAAAGTTTCCAACTATTAATTCAATAATGATTATTCCATTTACTATTCAAATTCGTATTTACCTTACTTAACATTTAATCCAACATTTTTACATTCTTAAAAATCCGTTGAAATCAGCAGAGCTTTGAAAAACATATCTTCTCTCTTCGAATTCAAAGCGTCTCTAATTCTAGGAATTAGATCCTGTTTCCAATGTTACAATGAAATTGTCATATCTTCTTAAAAACTTCAACTTTTGTAAATATGCATTGTCTTTTTTTTTACCCCCTTAATGCTTAAGATGTTAAGGATGACAATAAGTATAGGTTTGGTTTGGTTTGTTTTAAGGCACATCAACCTCAATGGGTCATTTAATGCCGACAACTTTTTTTTTTTTTCCTGGTAATATTTTTGTTTTGTTAAAAATCTATTTCTGTTAATATTTTTTTCCCTCAAAAATGTATAGAGAGACTCCTACACAGGTTAATAATAAATTTTATATATAATCTTCTGTTCAGTGGATGATGAAGTAGTTTTTTTTTCTGAGAGAAGCAGGCTGAAGAAGACCCTAAATGTATGTTAAAAACTGTGTGAAGAAGAGAATAGATATTACAATAATATAGTTTTTAATGGTATTTCTGC